GTGATCAGCATATGCTAATAAAATACATACATTCTACGGCCATTCAATCAAGGGAAACTAGTGGACATATGAACTCAGAAAGAATATCATCCAAGAATCAATGCAAATATAAAACTAAAAGTTTACCCATACCCATAGGCTTGGTTTTTGAGCAAACACCACATAAACAAACCAGAAATTAACTAAAAGTAACATAAGTACTCTAAATGATTGGTATGTTTCCCAAATAATTCCTCTATGTAGGGAAAATTGCAGAGACTGTAGCATATACCTTTTCAAATAATACTGCTACGTAAAGAATGTTGCAGAGGAAGTAACATATATACCTTAAATATTAAATAAGGTTATTCATGAGAAAAATATTCCCTATTTTTGGATGACTCGGAAAATATTCCCTATTTTTGGATGACTCGGGGGCAAAGCAGCCTCTTATTATCTCTAAAGATGTGTGTGTGTACAGACGCATGTTTGTTGTTGTTCACCATCATGCTTATAACCTTAGATACATAAAGGAGAATGACCAAATGGAGGCCACATTGCATCAGAATACATCCAAAACTGGACGCTGCATGGTGTGCAACGATATGATTGACATGTAGATGCAATTTTGTACATGCATCAAGTGACTGCCACACTTTTATTTATCAGATGAAATTAGGAAAAAGAATCTGCAACTACACCCATTACCGTATAGGCACTTGAAGATCCCCCTACAGTGCTCTTAACGCCAGCTTCACCATATTGATCATATAAAGCTCGCTTCTTATCATCTGATAGCACCTGACAGGGTTGTACTTCAGAATTCAACAGACAATATTATAAATGTGAAAAAGAAAAGATGAGCAACATAATGTATTTCATGGGAGAATAAGCAAAAAGAGCATATAACCCAATATTCACTGATTGCAAACTAAGAGAGTTTATGCATGTTTCAAAATTAGAATCCTGGTAATGAAGGAAAATCCAGAAATACAATCTGACTGCACTATTAGTGAAAGTGGGAAGTTGATTGTTGGTTTTTATCCTCACTATGTCATTCATTGAGATGGAGGTCATGCTTGGAAGGATGACGAGCATATGCACTAATACAAATAATAATAACTAAGATGAGTTGAGCTATTGTCAGAACTGTAGGCACGAGTTTAGGTGGATGTTGCTCACTGATTCAGAGTCTAACTTAGAGATATGCAGCATATGCTTCTATTGCAGTTCTGTTGACAGTACCCCCTTTATAATTTAAAAGGGAAACAATATAGGAAAGAAAAAGTGAACCACATTTACAAAATCAAATATTAGGCAATAAATTTAAAATGAGGTTTTAATGCTAAAGTCAAAATAAGGAGGAAAAGGTGAAATACCAGGAAATACAAGATTTTAAGGCAAAACCTCCTACATGATAACAATCCATATATGATACGTAAAAGGATCGGATTGAATGTTGATATTTTTTTTATCCTGTAAATATGTTTTTTGTGCATTTAACCAATGTATGCCAGTAAAAGCTAATTAAACAACAAGTACCACAAGTATAGCCACTAGAATGCACCGACTGCATTTTCAAATATTTCAATTAAAATGCATTAACTATAAAACCTATCATATATTATAAAGGTCGTCACTTTCTATAGATATGCAACAAGCATGTCTCTAGGAAAGAAGAAAAAAAGAAAAAGATGTTCATACCTCATATGCAGCACTTATCTCTTTAAACTTTTCAGTTGCTCCTGGTTGCTTGTTTACATCAGGGTGGTACTTGAGAGCATAATAATACATAGAAGGTCAGGATTACATTCAAACTTACAAGATGAATGGTTATGGTGCTAATTACTACTTTGAAAAACTAGCATCAAAGAAGAAGCAAATATCCTATGCTTCTCTATTGTATCACATAATGGAAGAATAATGCTAACTTTGGACAGTCAAAAGCACAGGATCAACTACAATGGGATCCGAATTTCCGCTGCAAGTCCCTCCTCTTAACAGAAAATCATACCGCTGAATTTTGAAGAGTACAACGTGCCTAAAAGCAAGCCAAATCTTTTGTAAACTTACTTAAAAATTCTTACTATACCAAAAGAATTCAAGTGGTACGGGACATATGACTCGCTGAGTCAAAGTGGATGTCAAAGGATGTATTTTGCTGTCATTTAATCTATTAAATTTTATTGACATTGCAAGTTACCAGTTGTTTGGTTGCTGAGAAAATTATCCATAATCACATGATAACCGATAATTGAAACTTCAGATACTTACAATTTCCGGATTAATTTTCTTTTCCAAAAGGGGGTGAAAATAAGTACCTGGCGAGCAAGCCTTCGATAAGCGGTTTTGATTTCCTTGCTAGAGGCAGATTTGGGAACCCCAAGAGTGGCATAGTAATCCCCAGAAGCAGCAAAAACAATCCCAACGCGGCGTTTCGTGTTGAATTTCCATGACGAAGTGGTAGAAGAAGAAGAAGACGGCGACCAAGAATGAAGAGAAACGAAGCTCTTGTGGGTCCTTAAGTGGGTCCCGCCCAATACAAACGAAGAAGAGGAAAAGGAAGAAGAAGAAGACGGTGGGAAGAGAAGGTGGGGAGTGGAGGAGGGGAGGAGAGAAAGAGCCGCGGCCGACATTGAAGCTCGGAGAATCAGTCGTGAGATGAAGTGATTGAGTACGCTAAATTGTCCATGGCTGAGCCTAAGAAAAAGAAACTACTGATACAAAGAAGATTGGTGTTGGTGCGATGGCAGAGCTTGGAATACAAAGAGGGGATATGTGTGGTGTGGACTTCCATTCATGCATCACGTTTTAAATTAAATTAAATTATGCAACTCTTTTTGCCCCACGTCACTTTTTTTTTCTTTTTTCTTTTTTCTTTTTTCTTTTTCTGGAAAAATAGTATATTCCTAATTTCCTACCCCAGTGGAAAAAGGTTAAGAATTTAATTTAGGGGTGGATACGGTCTGATCCGAATACATTAAACTGAACTAAACCAAAACCACCATTATGTGATTTGATTTGGACAGTTTACCAATTTATGACTGAGCTCAATACTCTTTTACTTTTTGAGAGATTCTACAATAAAAATTTTGTATTAAGAATTTGTTATATACTTCTAATTTTGACTGTTTAATTGCATTCATTAAATATGTTAATAGTCTCTTATATGCAATCCAATACTCGAGATTAGAAGTATGTAAACAATTCTCAACTTAAATACTTATTAGAGAATCTCCCTTACTTCTTAAACTTTTTAGTAATCACAATATAAATATTCATGATATTTAACTGTGAAACCCTAGAAAAATGTTTGTCTAATTTTGTCACTTGTAAGTTTCCAAAAAAAAAAAAAAAAAAAAAAGACGAATATTGAAGAATATTAAATAGGTTTTTTTTTAGAAGAAAAATACGAGTCAATTATATATGTACGTTATTGAACAAGCAGTGACAAATTTGATCGTTATATAGTTTTATTTATTTATTGTTTATTTAAAAATTTAATGTATAATCTGTTTACTTAAAACTACGTGAAAATACATATAATATATGAGGTCTACGAGAAACATATTGTACATTCGATTTTATAGAAACTTATGTTTTATTGTATCTTTGAGAAGTGTACAAGAAGATTTTAAGTATAATGTTATAGTTGTGCAAAGTAAAAGCAAAAAAGGTAATTTGTCAAATTACTCTTTGCACTTGTACCTAACTATCAATTTACCCATGATTTTTTTTTTAGAAAATTAAGGACTTGAATTAATTTTTATTCTCAATGTTCCCCCTTCCGTCTAAATCATCAACATTTCATCCAATTTGCCATTAAATATGAGGGCAAATTTGTCATTTCATCCATCCCCCCCCCCCCCCCCCCCCCTCTCTCTCTCTCTCTCTCTCTCTCTCTCTCTCTCTCTCTCTCTCTCTCATGCTAGCCCCAACCAGACCCATCAACCCCCATGACAAAACCCTCCCCGAATTCCTCGGAATCCTTGATTTATCTTGTGGTATTTCAGATATCATACCGATGCCGGCCCACTTATGAAAGAGACAAGACTTTCTACCGAAATTTCGGCATAGTCTTCCTTGAAAAACGGACATTTCCCAAAATTTTCAACATGTTAAAGACACATTTATAAGTCTCATCCGACAACATGCACAAGATAATAACATGCAATTTAATCCATTAATGCGAAATAAAGGTGAAATCGAAGTATTCTAACTTCCCCGATAGCAATAATAATATCCAAGTCATGCCCTTGACTTCAGCCTATCCCATTCCCAAGACATAGGATTATAAAACAGAATAGATAGGAATGACTTTATAATAATCAACTTATACATTTATATATACATATATACGAATATATATAGTTATATACATGAATGCTACGATAACTTATACTATATAAATATGTACCCCAAATTGCATAAGTATACGAATAATATGATATATATATATATATATATATATAAAAGATAGTAACACCCCAACTTGAGTACCGAGGAAACAATCTAACATAGGGTCCAAAAATATAATTGATCTTGTAGCTGCACTTGAGTAAGACTTCAGGCTACCTACGTACCTTTACTGAGGAATCAAGCCACACGTAGTTCTACAATCACTAATCATGAACCAGATAACATACAATTATTTAAAGTAAAACCAACGATTTATTTTAGATTCACCTACAACTTCAAATCCGTCAAGGCACACACTGAACACATTATAAATTCCTTCCCTTAAGCCAGTTCATCCCCGCAACCATACCATATCCAAGACGTATGTTGCCGAACAACACTTTCCAATTCATGACATAAACATTCATACCTATGCAGGGTACTCACGAAGCAAAAATTCAAGAATCTCAACCCGGAAATGAATCCACATATATATATATATATAATATGTATGTATATATATATTTAATATGTATGTATATATATATAAATACACCTACCTCACATCATCATCATGTACCAGGGGAAAACAATCAAATCCAGGAATCGTTTGACTAGACCACATGGAGGAATCTTTAACAACCATGTGGCTAGGGATGAGCCATCCATCCGGGGACTGGGCTAACCAGCACGCACAGCAAAATCCTCAATACTCTTGTGCTTGTAAAAAGTCCTACGCGTGCAGACTACCCTGCCAAGGGTCTACGATAACACCCCGTCAAGGGTACCCGGGTTCCGATCATATCCAAGTATCCATATCCATGTATCAATTTCCATGTATCCGTATCCAAGACGAGGTACATATGATATTGCACATCATGTACTGGGGGAAACAATCCAACAAGGGGATCGTTTGGCTGAACCACACGGAAGAATCCTTAACAACCATGTGGCCAAGGATGAGTTGTCCAACCGGAAGACTAAGCTTACCAACACGTACAGCAGAATCCTCAATACTCGTACGCTTGTGACAAGTTCTACACGCGCAGACTACCCCGCTAAAGGTCTATGGTACACCCCGTCAAGGGTGCTCGGGTTTCGACATATCCAAACCATATCCACAATTTCCAAGTATCCATCAATTCCAAGATCTGTAGCCAAAGAAGCCCAAACACCGGAAAATCCAACGTCACATGTGAGTATTCCCTTCCTTTATTTTTAATGATTTAATAGAAAATTTGATGAAATGTTGATAGTAAGGGGAAAATTGAGAATAAAATTTAGTTTAAGTCCTTAATTTTCTAAAAAACAAGGTCGGGTAAATTGATAATTAAGTACAAGTTCAAGGGGCATTTCGACAAAATACCAAAGCAAAAATGCAATAGACTAACCACATATCGCCCAAAAAAAGAAAATGCCTCATATTTTCAATAGGAAAAACTAATTTAAACAATTGAAAGCTAATGGAATAAACCAAACCTAGTTAAAACTCGAGGACAAAAAATATAGTTCACCATCAAGAAAAGAAAAACTGGCAGTAAAAACAACAATACAAGAGGCAAATATTAAGCCCACCGGACTGGGTTCTCAAACTAGGTTTGTACCAACAATTGATTGAGAATCTACAGGGAAATAGAGTCATGCATATTACTAAGATATATCGGAATAAAAATCCAAACATGATGAACACATTTAGCCAGCTAAAGAGGAGGGTGGCAGAACCGAGCCAGAGACTGCATGGAATTTTAGAGTCTGCCTGAGTGTCTCAGATAAGCAGTGCAAACCGCATTCTGAAGTCAATATGGGCATTACGGTGGAAGGAATGCAGCTCAACTATATGCACCACCAACAATCATGTTCTCACCTTTATGTTAAATTCCATCTTTTACAAACTACATAGATGTAAAATACAAATTCACCAATATAAACCGAATAGTTCAGCAATTCCACAATTGATTGACAGATCGCCAGAGACCTGGACAGGGGATATCAAAGACATAAAGCAGCCTCAATCTACAAATGCGCATACTTCAACAGACACAATCTGAAACGGGCTCACAACAGAGCATGTATTGCCGACTCTATATCATCAAAATGCTAAATTTGGTCCCTTTCATTAAAAGACATCAGGATGAAAACGTCCAGGGATGGAGTTGCTTTGCTGAGCCTGCTTCAGATGCATTGTCAAGGCGTAGTTGTTAACCTGTCACAAACCACACAAATTTATCAAGATTAGTGAGCAGGAAAAACAAAGTTCAATGCACTTTCTTTGCATAGTAAACTAGATGCAGAGGTACTGTTCTCTTGCAAGATCGCATAGTATAGTTAATATGGATCATAGACTAGGTTCTCTGAACGTATGCAAGAGAATCCATTGGATACAATAAACAAATTGCACAACTTTCTCATATTTCCTCCATTTCTATAATAGGTTTGCATCACATATCAGTACTAAATATGGTTTCAGATCTTTTACTATATCATTTGAAAGACATCGAGGGAATCCTAACAGAAACACAGCCTCTAACTCCCTCCATCCCAGCTTCAGGAATTAATTACTCAATCAATCACATTAGATATCCAGCAACAGTTTCTACTGATCAAATGAAACTCTATAAATAAAAAATTATGCATCTTCAGAAATTTTAAATTATTCTATGTTCCTTCAAAACATTCTGTATTCAATCATATTATCTTTAGAAGCATTTATATTCCTCCTGATACTAAAGTGCCATACAAATCATTCATTATCTTGTTCCTGACAAAAAAATAACAATTATTTGAGTAGCCAGACAGTTATGATTCTGACCTCAAGTGTTCTCAACTGTTCCTGATATTGAGACACCAACTGCTTCAGATTCTGGAATTCTTGGTTCCGCTCCTCATACTCTTTCTGACGTTCATGCTGGATAGAAACAGCTCGTTTAAGAATGGTATTCTCCCTTATCAGTCCTTCAATTTGTTGTTTCAGCAGCATATTTTCCTGATTATTATAAATCATAAACACAAATCATTATATAAATAAATAAAATAAAAAGATAAATTCTACCATCCCTAGCTTAGCATCCTATCTACAAAGATGGGTCAATTTAAATTTTTTTTACTTCAAACCTATCAGACCTGTTATCCAGAAACTAAAGGTATGGAACAAAAGAACAAACAACAGGTTGACCAATTATCAAAAATAAGGCCAACACATAACAGAATCAGAAACAATTTACTCACCTTTTGAAAACTTTGGGTTGCCTCAGCACCAGCACGTGCACTGATGGATTTTTCTAAAACCTCTAGCACTTTTGCAGCACGGGCCCTAGCATCATCCACACTATTGGCACTCATCATTTCCCTGACAAACAGTTCAACCCATTCGGCACCATCTACAGGCAGGTTGCTGGGAACTGATGGATTCTCAGAAGCAGCTGCAGCTTCATCATTAGTCAATATACCTGCTAAAAAAAAAAAACAAAAAAAAAAAAAAAAAAAAACAAAAAAAAATGCAGCTTGAAATATACCTGACCCAAAAAAAGAAGAAAAAAAAACCAAAACTGTACAATAATTGATGAAGAATGTTCATATTATTAACGGAATTATTTACTTGAAAGGATCGGATTCAGGTAACAACGATCAACCGTTCTCGGGAACAAGTTGAAATAACAGAAATATAACAAATATTCCTGCGGTCTTTTCCTTTTCTTTTTCTATATTATTTGTGAGCTGAAAATTACAGCAATCTGAAACATAAAACATATATTATAATGTAGCAAAAATTTCAGAACCTTTCCTCCCTTATGGGAACCAAAGCTTTGTTCTTTTAAACTGAATACTGTTCATTACCCAAATACTGGAAAAACTAGCTGAAAAAAAACATAAACAGCATGAAAAGGTGCTGATTTCAGTGGTTTGCAGGTTTGCAAAATGGTATTCCATCTTTCAAAATACAAACAAGAACCAGTTCATTACAGCCTTGATGACAGAAGTGAACAGATTAGCACAGTTTAGCACTCATCATAACTAGTAATGCCGCTCGAAACACATAAACACACAAACAAGACAATCTGTATCTGCAAGACATAGAGTTGTAAGCATAAAACACTTTTTACAAGTAATAGAATCTTGCTGATAACATGTTAACGAACTTTCTTATTTTTCAAAACATGACAGAACTTTTACCGTCCCTGAAACAAAAGTAACCATGGATAATGGCAAGCCTCATACATCACCAGTCAAGTTCTATCCAAACTAACACGTATAAATTAAGCTACCAGTAATAATGGTAAGTGAAAAGAAAAAGAAAAAGCTATTACAGAGATTACTAAAGAATGAAACTGAGTATAGCAAAAGAAGTATGGAATACATCATACCTTGAGCTACCGAATCATCTTGTTCTGCAGCAGAGGCAGAATTTTCTTCTGCAGATCCTATGCGAAGCTCATGCAGCAACTTGACGGCAGCATCTATATCATTACCACATTCTTCCAATGCTCTCTCAAGAACCTAAAGATTTTCAAAGCAAATCAATTATTGGTTTCCTGAATACATCCAAGAAATTACAAAAATTTATTAAATCAAACTTAGATTTGAAAAGGTTAATTCTACATTGTTGTTCGGCCTTGTTATGAAAAAACAGCCCTTACATGAACTGAATAGTCCACTAGACCCATGGCAGTAAATCGTCCCCGCATTACCACGGAACTAGAAAAGAAATCTTTTTGTACCAAAGTAAACGATGTGAGAAATCTACGCTATCATATGTATTAAATAGAAACAAGTTACAAACTTCCCAAATTCCAAAATACCTTATTTTTCTCAGAAATCAAACAGGCAATAGGAATCCAAAACCAAAAATAACATCTAATAACAAGAAGACCATATCCATTAATACCTGAGGGTCCATCTGAGGGAAGAGAGAGCGAAGCTGATCGAGAAGATAAGGAGCAGAGAAGCGAATGGGAGATGTAGAAGAAGAACAGCGAAGCCTCTTTGAGAGAGGCGGCGATGGAGGAAGCTCTTCGAAAAAGGACCTCTTGCTTCCACACACTGCCGCAGACATCCTTCACTCTATCTCTCTCGGCTCTAAATTCCGAACGAATCAACCACACCACCGATTCAAATCGGATGATTTTACAGATAAATTAGGGTTAGGGTTTTGAGGGGATTGTGGGGATTTGGTGAGAAAGGGGAAAAAGTTATGGGTTTTGTCTTTGGGGTTAGGTTTCGTGTTTGGTGCTTTGATTGGTTTGGTTCGGCCTTCGAATTGCCAGGGAGCTTTTGTTATTTATATATAGTTGAGTGGTAGGGGAAAGAGACGGTCGAGGAGATGATATAGCACGCGCTCTATGCGCGCGTTGGTGGACTTTTTAGTTTTAAATCTTCGGGATTTGTTAACAATAACAATTAGACGTTAGACTATTAAATTTAAAATTATGGAGCTTATTAGGAAAATAAAACATTTATTTATTTTCTACTTATGGCATGTTTACTCACTAGAATAGGGAAAGTCACGATGAAATATAAGGAATCAAAAGTTATGAGGATTCACATTAAATCTTAATCAAATGATTTTAAAATTAAGAATAGATTGGTTCCTTGATTCATGATTTTACCCATTTCTAGTGTTGAGAGTATTCGATTACGAATTTTAACATGGAACCCACATAATTATTTATTCTTTATGTGTTAGTGAGTGAGGGAGATGTTAGGCATTGGAATAATTTTAATAAGTATATGTTAGTAAATACACTGAAAGAAGGATTTGGAATTATTCTAATACTCATTCTTAATAACTTAATAAGTAAACATGTCATTAGTTGTAATGTGTCAAACGGGTCGTGCCAACCCAATTAGTATATCCATTTAATACGAGTCGTGTTGGGCTCGCTCATTTAGAAAAATAATCAATTCCGGCCCAAGCCCATGGCCCCCCATAAGGGGATCAGGCTGTGCTTATGCCTAGCCACTAAACGAGGCGATTTCATGCAAAATTTGACTTATGTCTTGCAATTTTTTTTTATTACAATCTTTTTACAATTATGTATATACAAATAAGATTTATTATTTGTTATATATATAAAAAAAAAAAGATGTCAATAACTTTATTTAAAGTACATGTAAATAGAAAATGGAAAATGCTACAGGAACCAACTTTGGGCACCAACTCTCTAATAGAGCGTGGGCTCCGGTGTATTGGCGGGCTCCACCTCTATTAGAGAGTTGGTGCCCAAAGTTGGTGCCTCTAGCACTAAAAAAAATATTAAAATTTAATCTATATATAAAGCAAAAGGTAGAGAATGATGAAACATTCAAATACCAGAAAATATCCTTGGTTAATTCAAACATTAAGAATTGAAATTATTAATTAAATGAGGATAATATGATAAATTCATATTTTTTTCATATTAAAAAAAATTAAAATTAAAAACAAAATCAGATAATAGCTCCTACTTTTATGGAACATAACTACCTACGTTATCTTTTCTTAATTCCAAAAATAAAAATAAAAAAGAAAAAAGAAAATCATGCATGTGCCAAGGGGCTAGTATATATTATTAGAGAAAATAAATAACTTGAATTTAAGATATAAATATAATAATAATATTTATTATTTGTCTCTAAAACAAACAAAATTTAATAAATGGACTTCAAAAAGGCCGGCATGGCCCATAACAGGTCAAGGCCCGACTTGTCCCATTAGGTTTAATTATCTCGTCCCGATCCGCTTAAAGATACGAGCAATGTCATGCCTGACCTTACTTAATCCGGCCGCCCCGATGCGTTTGACACCTCTAATTAGTTACCTCTCTCGGTTATAACTTATAGAGGTCTTATCGTCTTGCCTTTTGATATTTTTGCTTCGGATGTGAACTTTAGCCTTACAAGATTCTTTCTTTGGAAAAGGAAAAGTTCTAGTAACTTAGCCAAATCAAATGACTCGCCAAATAAGAAATACAAATTTTGAGGGAGGGGCGACAATTAAATTGAATGGATAAAGAACTTTAGCTTTTTACAATTAAAATGGTTATATCAAATTGTGGGAGGGACCATAATAAAAAAATCTTGACCACCAAAAGCACGTATCAAAAATAAAGAAAATTTTCCTCAAAAAATAAAAATAAAGGAAATTAATCTAAGTTTTTTCAGTTAAGATGATGTCCTAAAGAAGTCAAATTGGGCATTACCATAAATTACATTTTAGTTTAGTCAAATATCACAATTTTTAGTGTAAAAATGAAATTAAACTCACATGGATTGTTTGATTTGGTCACTGTTTTTTGGTGTCACATGGTGTTACTAATTAATGCATGACATATCTAATTATGTTGTCCACTCATATTATAACACGTATCCTAATAACACCACGTGGCGAAATCCCTTGTATGTTTGAACCATATATTCGGCTTTCCACCCAGTTCCAGCTCCTATGTTGGCACAAACTCCGGTTTTTCCCAATTCTATCCATGCAATTTAGCAATCCGTTTCATATCTGATTCAACTTACCTCTTACCAGCCAAATATTAGCTGGAAACTGCTTTCATAAAGTCGAAACCAGCGACTTGTAAATTTTAACTTGGTTCAACTACTTGCAACCGCATGCAAGTTTGAATGTAAACGTTATTAAACTGCATTCACAATACTAAACTATATTATTCACCAAAATTCGACCCCTTACTATTTTCTATTACACACTCAACTCCATGCTCAGATTTCAATTGCTGAGAACGTTTAGACAACACAATATTGTCCTCCACAGAGGCTCAGTCGGAGCTGACGCTATGACACGGTATCATCAGCAACAAATAGGCTGAGTAAAAATGGTAAGTTGGAAAGGCCCCAAAGCCTTGACTGACTGTTTCTGATTTGGGTGGTAATTCATAACACTTCTGTGTTTTCAGCTAGACCCCAAGGCCTTGACAGGCAACGTGACTGGACCCTTTTGGAACCTCTGGTTTGTTGCAAACTGGTGAATTGCGTCTTGAATTCCCTCAAATGCCACTAGGAACTCTGCTGCATCGGTTTCACTCAGTACCTTCTTCAACACCAATTCCAGTGCCTTGAACCTGTTGTACAGAATCACATGTCTGGTAGTTAGTCATAATTGCATTTGCCTTTATTCCTTTGAAGGGGATACTTATAAGGAATAGAAAGAGGAAAAGCCACGACACAACAATAAACTAACAAAGACAGGAAGAAAAATCCCTACAACACAGTTGTCGAGAACTATCATGTTTCTTGAAGTTATAACAGTTCCAACAAACAAAAAAAAAAAAAAAAAAAAAAAAAAAAAAAAAAAAAACAAAAAACAGCAACAAACAAAAGTCGTTGAGCGTTCTCGTGATCACCCTTTCAATCTTCTTGAACTCAGACTGAACACAAGCCAGGGCAGCTCCACCTGATTGGATGTTGGTTGGAGCAAATGGAAGGTAGAGAATACATGTAGATTGAATTTCAGCCATTTCCTCATCAAGTATTGCCTCTTCAATCCGAATCTCATAAATGAGCTGTGATAAGAGCTGTTCGGTGCCAATAGAGTTTGAAGAAGAGGATGATGATGATGCTGAGGAGGAGGAGGAGGAGAGGGACAAGCCACGCACGAGCTCCAGAATGGCAGAGGGCCGCCAATCACCAATCCACGCTATGGAGGCCAGCTCATCAGGCGGAGTCCAACTGGGCATGAGGATTTGGGCAACGTCCTTTAGCCGGGTTGGGACCATATCCAAGTTGTAGTGGGCATGGAACCTGTTCAGTTGTTCTTCAATTATCTCCTCAAGTTCCCACCTTACCTTGAGCCAATTCTCTAGCCTGGCAACTCTGCCCTTCTGTTCTTGCCTCCACAGACCATTCTTCTGAAAAGATAGCTCTTCACCTGGATATACATAAATATATTTTCGCTCGTTATGCATGGCTTGCTGGATCCACAAAAACTAGGTATATACAGGAAAACCATTTGAAGGCATTTAGTGGAAAGTGTATGTGGTCATGGTCTTCTAGTATGTGGCTTTAAGCCTTTACAGAAGAGGCTCTATACTCTCCCTTTTAATACTATAACTACGAATAGCCTTTTACGAACTAATTGAATACTTGCGCCAGAAATTCAACGAAATAGTTTACCATTTCCATAAAATATATCATTTACAACAAAATTTCACTTGATGTTCCTGATCCATAGACTCACATTCATCAGTTTTTTCAGACTGAATGTGTTACCGCAATTAGGACTACTTATTCTACTCAAGTATAACCATTTCATGCCAGGAAAATCTTGTTTTTGTTTTCTTGGTCCTGAATAAAAGAACATACAATGTTCTTGTTCTTCCCAGATAAAGATTGAAAGCAAGCAAGAGGAAACATCTAGCATTCAAATTTTTACATCATCCTCATTTTATAATTTATGGGTTTTGGCTACTTTGATAAAATAAATTTTAATTGTCTTAATTTCCAACGAAAATCAGAGATAATTATCTTAATCACCTCGTTTTGTGGTGTCCCGCTTGTGAAGGCTCATGCACTGAAACTTCTCTGCACTGTCGTCAATTGCATAATCACCTTCTCCTATGTCTCTCCTTAACAATCCTTCATTTTCTTCTTGCAGTTCGTAGTCATCTTCATTAGAGTAGTTCCTGTAGAAATTCCAAGGGAAAAAGAAAAATACGTGGGTTCCTAACAATGCATGCCCATTTGTCCTTTCATCAAGAAAACTAGAAAGAACATTTGGGTTCTCATTAGTCCCACATTTTCCTTGTTCTTACTTATTTTCTCAGCAACCAAACAGTTCCAAAAGAAAACCAGAAAGAACATTTGGGTTCTTTGTGACAAGCCCCATATCCTCTATTTTCTCACCTTTTCTTTTCTTATTTCTAAAAAGCCAAACAGAGCGAAAAGAAGGAGGTGGCAGAGAACTACTTACATGGAGGATTGAGATGAAATCCCCTTCATTCTCTTTTCTTTTGTGTTGCAGTTCTCTACGTTGATGGTTTTCTTGGATTCTCTCTCTTTTCCTGAGCCGGAAAACTGAACCGTAACGCTAAGCCTCTGCTACTGAACTGGAGGGAAGAAAAATGAAATACCAACAAAGCACACACTGAATTTCATTAATTTATAACACGACCAGGGCTAATTTGGTCATTTACAAGAAATTTCTCTAGTCCGGGCCTTTTGCTCGATGGCCAGTTCTTGGCCTTTCACAGTCAGTTTTTCCACAACTGATGGCCTTTCACAGTCAGTTTTTCCACAACTGATTAAAAAAACTGAAAACAAATTTTAATATCCAGCGTGGAAATTGGATAAATTTTTTCTTTTTCTTCTGGGGTATAAAAAGGAAAGAAAGTGGTAAAAAAAACCCATTCAGTTGCTCTTAGTTTTGGGCCAACGCTTCAACCTATATGGCTTCCTGCATATATGAATCAGACATAGATTTTTGCACTGCAACAGAGGGAGAATTTCCCCAGAACATTAGATATATATTTATTTACACTGAAAGCAAGTAGCAATGGCAGATTCTTTATATATACATATTGCATCATCCTTCTAATTACACAGATTTTTTTCTTTTGTTCCGAAAGAGCTTTCGGATCTTTTCGACCATCAAAGTTCACTTTTCAGTCTCACCCCATATGCGCTCGGATTATGAGTACATTTTGGCCTGAGTTCATCTTTGCTATGGATAGGTTTCAGCAAACTTACCCATGCCCAGATGACAACAGTAAACTACCTAGCACTAGCAGTAGAAACACCTTCTTTGAAAAGATTCGCAACCGGTGGAGGAAGCCAAGCTGTATTGCCACCACTCTGACCATCCTGACTATTCCCATCCCTCCGCATTGAGTTTCTTCGACCCTTCAGCTTTGCACTTACGTTTCGTCCAACAAATAAGCTGATCTTCATGGCTGTAAATAGACCAAATGCAATTGTGAGCGGCCTTACTGCCCAGTGAAAATCCTCAATATGTTGATACTTTTGGACCACCCCAGGACAGGTATCAAAGGACACTAGTTCTACTTCAGCTGGATCTGCCAAGAAGCTATTAGATTCGTCTCCCAATACCAGCCTTCCAGGGAACCTCACAACCAGACAACCATTTGGAAGGACTTGTGAGATCCGTCCCGTTGTCCATGCTCCTCCATTCTTGCGAGGCCACTCAAATCTGGGAGAGAGCACGTTTGCCTTGAGCCTCACAAACTCTCCCACATAATATGCATCAGCCATTTGAAGGTCAGATGACTTTCCTCTCCATAGAGTCTCTAACCCAATAAATCCAACTGCAACACTTCCATCACGCTGTATGGAATGAAGAATTCCATCAGGAGAGTGCTTCCTGCATTCACCCTTCAAGCTCACCCAATCACCCACTGCGAAGCCAGATGTGACTCTCTCAACTGTTGACACCAGTACTCTTACAGGGTTGCGTTCTCCAGGGATCTTCACCAGGGCAAAACCATCTCTATCGGAATCAGTCTCCAGACCAGTAACACTTCCTTCAGGGACATCCATAGCTTGAGGCTTGCGTGCATTCAGGGGCTTCCTTGAGCGAACTATGTCTCCAACCTGGAGACGATCTTTCAAGAGATACCATGTAGTATAACCACTGCTACTAAATTTTCCAGCAGGTGTACTGCTTCCTAAACCAAGCCATTCTCCATCACTTTGAGCATCATTTTGTGAGCTGCATGTTCAGTTGCACATAATCAGCATACAAAGATAAAATAAAATAAAATAAAAGGCAGGATAATCAAAATACTTTCATTTCTATTTCATTGGTACAAAAAAGGCCAACAGAAAATTAAAGTCACAAATTCTATGACAGCAGCACCACTTTGAAGCTGCAATCTTAATTAATAGTGTATGGAAAAGCAATGTGAATTTCACTAAGTCCTCAAGGTTTTGGATGCTTATAAAGGGATTCAAGATTTGTAATTTGGAAATAGAATATTGGGCCCTGCAGAATCGTGAAACAGCAGGAATTTCTCGACTGAAACAAAAGAATGTAACTGGTATCAATGGGTTAACTGATAGCCAAGGGTTAAGGAAAATATCAAGCCAGGGATATAAGAGGTGTAAAAAGATGATAGGGCTTGGTGCGGCTAAGAGGATAAAAAGGATCAAAATTTGAGGCTACACACAGTCAACTGGACAGGGACAAGTACTTTGTTGCCTTCAGGTTGTTAAGTTTTGATGAGAAAAAGGTTTGGTTACTGTGAGTGAGATTATTACATAAGTAGGAGAGAATACCTTTCAAAAGCATGTATGATATCTTCCATTGAAGGCCGATTGCGGAAATCATACTCAAAGCAACCATTTATGACACTCTCAAGTGCAGGAGGCAAACCATTTGGAACAGGTGGCTTTTCTTGCTTGATCACAACTGAATGATAAATTTCTTCGATTGACCTCCCAAACCAGGGTTGAACACCAGTCAACATCTCAACAAAGCAACAACCAAAGCCCCATGCATCCGTTTCGAAGGATACAGGGCCTCTCACTTCTGGTTCCCACTGTTCTGGAGCCATGTAGTTTGGGGTGCCAAGTCTAAGAACCATATCTGAATTAGACAATGAAATCCCAAGAAGTAGATATGGAATCCCAAAATCTCCTAGGACTGCCTGGTCATGTTCATCTAAAAGGAAATTGGAAGGTTTCAGGTTTAGCACCAGAAGCCCTAGCGAGTGCAAGTCTAGAATTCCTTTCGCCAACTCAATTCCGTACCTGGAAACATTAGCATTATTGGGTCAATAACACCAGTTGTATCAATTGTATGATTCAGAAAGAAGATATACACTCCCAATAACATAACCTTAAGACATCAGAAAGTTGAAGCTTGCCACCCTTCATCTGAGCAACTCGATCGCCAATTGATCCCTCATAAAATTTCATAGCAATGCAGATCTGCCAGGAATTAAGATGAGTACTAATCAAGTTATACCCATATCAGAGTACAAAAGCAAAACAAAAAGATACAACTCCAAAAATAAAAAAGAAAAAATCCAGGCAGTCACCTTCCCATCAACAATGGAGATACCATGAAGCCAACCAACCCCATAGACTCTGCGGAACTTGAAAAATAACCTTTCAAACTTGCGGACAAACTCCTGTCTGTCGTCTTCCTTCAAAGGATGGAGCATCTTAACAGCTACCTCATGATATTCTTCGTAATCCTCTGCAGACTGATGACGAGTTGCTAACCAAACATCACCAAAGGGACCTCGCCCAATTCGGTACTTAAAGTTGAGTGAGGCAGGATCGATCCACGGACTAGTTGGAGTGAGTGTAGGCGTGAGTGTAGCTACAACAGTTCTTAGGTGATCAGGGTCCCCCTCAAAGAGCTCATACTCAAAAGAAACTGCTGGCTTTGCTTTTCCCACTTGCTCATCCATTTAATCAGCTAAGTATCTGGATGAAAAATAAAGCTACAAGTCAACAATTTGTGCATCCTTAATATGTTTATCTCACAGTAAATAATCAAGGTCCTCACTATAGAAAGAGAAAATAACATTAACAGGTGATTTCACAAGGTCATCAGGTATAGAATCCTTCAGATAAAGCTTGAACCACCAAATTTTCTAAATAAAAGTTCACAATTATCACAAAAACGTAGAAAATTTTCTAATTCAGTTCATAAATCAAAGTGCGTTTTAATAGATTAGATTTAAAACCCATCAAATTCCATACTAATCATTATGATACATATGAAACTCTATTTAGCGGCAAAAATTTATCTTCCGATGACTTGTATGTTTATATCTATGCATCCATCCACACAGCCCAAATGGAAACAAAAACACATGGAATTAACAACGATAATTGTACAAAGCTAGCCAAACCCATTTGCCTGATGCGAAAAGGAAGGAAACGAGAACAAAATTAAATTGAAAAGTAGAATCACTCCTTTTATCTTTCTTCCGTTGTTTAATCCAAACACACAGTTATTTTCTTTTTATTTTCCAATAGTTTCTCAGCAACCAAACATACACAAACATACCAGTAGCAGAGACTAGAGAGAAAGGGAGACTCTGTGACGTCCAGGAATGAAACTCGAACGGACCCAACAAATTTCTTCTTGTTTTTTCTTTTTAATAAATAATAATTTGGTTTTTTCTGATATATGCGAATGCGAGTAGAATTGAAGAAGAAGAAGAAGAAGAAGAAGAGAACAGAACTGGAATTACCATACGGGATATGGTATCTTCTGTGCGGCCTGTCTATCTGATCGCCAAGTCATCGGAAGCCCCACGTGGAAGCTGCTTGTCCAGACACGTCACTAAAAATTATGCAAAGAGTAGTATGACTCGTGTTAGGATTCTGAATCAATTATCCAAAATCTTGGACCACTTAAAATATTGATGATACTTAATTGTGGGGCACACATTTTTTGGTTACTTGTTGGGATTTTTCATAATTCTTCTCTCTTTTTTGGCCTTTTCTCATAATTCGTAATCATGCAAAGAAAAAAAAAAACCACTCTACTTGGTTTGTCAACATCTTGGTTAAGGTAGTTTGCTCGAACATTAGAATAATTTAGAATATCAACATTGTTAAAAGAAAAAATATATAATAATTTTATTGATATCTACAACTTAATTCCATTTTGTGCAAAAACACAACCCAAAATTCTAATAGTTTTATTGTTAATGTAATGACAAAAGGCTTTAGTTTGAAAAATATTCAAACAAAGCAGAAGATGGTTCGAACTCAGATACAAGGAGGTGAGTCCAACCCACAGTGTTCTTAGTTGAAACTTGAAATTAGGTGTGATATATTTGGTTTAACCTAATATTTATTTTTTCTAACAGTAAAAGTTACTAGTGACTTATCTCACAAGTCAACAAAGGAAAAAAACATTTTGATTTAAACCACATCAACATGAGCATTTTACCCTGAAAAACAGAGTCATTGTTTCTACCATTAATATTTCCTCCATTCACGATCGGTTAAAGGGAGAAGAGTTAAAATTATCGACATGGATCTTACCGAATTAACATTTACAATAAACAAGTCCAACATCAATGTTTCTTCTTTTAATCCTACCTAGACATAGAAGCTGGATGTTGAACTTGTGGAGCATCTTAAACCTTAATCTGGCATGGAATAGCTTCACAAACACAAAATGTAAGCCAAATAACACATCCTAGCTAGGACACGCCATGGCAATTCAAACTTTCCAAGTGGATTCTGTGCTAATTACCCTACAGTTGCACCCTTCTAGATCAGCTTCCTAATAGCCTGGATTTCGATGGATGGACCCTGTCTTCGGATCCCTTTTTTGAGACCCACCATGACCTTGGAGCATGAGAGCCACCCACTCAAGTAGTGAACCACCTTGAATTGAGGCACAGGGCCTTCCTCCAGATCTTCATTGGAGTTGTCCTCATGAACTGCATTGTTGTCAGAACCATCCAAACCACTCTTTTCTTCATCCTCGTGTCCATTTGATCCATATGTCAACCTTAAGTCAAAAGCCAGTAGTCCCTTTCTCAGTTATGCATCTATGAACAATAAAGAACAAAGAAAACAAAAGAAGAATAATAGTGCACAGAGAAAAAACAAATCAAAATGTGGAAATTTTTGCAAGATCCCACCTCAATTAACCAACTCTATAAAGCCTATCACCTCTAGTAGGCTTTTTTCTGACGTTTTATTTCTTGTACACAAAAATTTGGAGAGTCCAGAATAATAACTTCGGTTTAAGAGTCACAACGAAGAAATGAAAACTCATGAGAGCAATATGCTGAAGGCTATTCCTGTTTTACTCTTGTTATTTCCCTCAGAATTTTCCAGCCTCAGGTAAATATTAAATAGCTTTAATGCATCTTTAAACTTGATTACCATTTCCCCCTAAATAAATCATAAGGAAAAACCTGGGAATGATTCTTACGTTGAGTGCTGTTTGTAAGGAACACTCTCACTCTTGGACCGTCTTTTTAATGGTGAGTTGCTGATGGACATATGCCTAATGAACTGAAGCTGCATGTACCAGAAAACAAACATTAGCATAATAAGAAGAACATTGCTATTGCAAATTGAAGCACGAAATAACATCACTTGGCTAAATAGCAAAATAAGAAGTTAATTAATGTGGACAGCATACACAAAAATATCGACATTAGACATTGCCATTTCTGGATTCATCCAGAGAGAGCATAAACACATGGAATATAAAAGGGCTGAACTGTGGATCAAACATAAATGCAACATGTATGCTAGGGTATGCCTTGTCATTCAAATAGAAGCATGAGTTCTAGTTAATTATACTGTGTAGCATGTCTATGTGTATCTCAGTCCCCTTTAAGGTTATTTTATTTCAAATCTTCATCAAAGTTCTCAAAAAAAACAAGGCAAAAAATGGAATGGTATACAAGTTGATCATCATGTTTGTGTTCCTAATTAGTTATATCATATTTGTCAGAATATCAGTGTTTCCATCTAGCCTTCATTCAATCAGGTACATATGTTACACACATATGCCCCTAAGAGAAAGCAATCAGAAACAATAAAGCAATGAGTTGGAACAATGTGTTCCTTGCACCATCGGAGTTTGAACTTTGAACGCACATACGATTCTTGTAACATTTCAACAAATGGAGTTAACAATACCATAAATTTGGTTAAAAATGGTATAGAAGTCATCCATAAACTCTTGTAAAATTGCAGCAATCCAAAAAAGTATATTATATACTAGATAAGTTCATTAACAGATTTGATATTTTCAAAAGGAAAATGTGGCACATACTTGATCTCCATCCTTGATTCCAAAGTTCCGAATGTACGCCTTCTCATTGGTTAGCTTCTGACCTACATAGCACAAGCAGAAATGCCCCCAAACTAGTGACCTGAGAGCAAATCAAATAGGCTTACATGTGAGAAACAATTTTAAGCACCAAAGAAAGCATATTACACATAATTTTATAAGACAGTTTACCATGGAATCTTGCCTTCCAACAAACCAAAAAACTCTTCTACTGCTTGTTTGAGCTCCGCTATTGTAGCAGTCCTCCCAACATGAATTTCTGTAGAATTGAAATCCCATTAACTCTACAAACAACCCAAATAATAAAATTCCTAAAATCCATAAAATGTAAATAGAAACTTGGGTGAGTGATAATGGACCCCATGATTTTGACAAAAATTAAAAAAGACAAAAAAAAAAAGGAAAAAGACATTTTGGGTAATAATTTTAGCATAAGACAAGAGATGCAAGAAAGGTTTAACTTTATGTAGATGTTGTTTCCTAGATACTCATTCTAACCAAAGAGCTTTTTCCAAAAGCAGATTTTCTCCATTTCAAAAAGCAGCTTCCCAGAATCAAAGTCAAAACGAGAAACGAAGTTTTTAAAAAAGTTACCGAAAACAGAGCCATCGAGCTTGAGAACGGAGAGCTTGAGGAGCGGAAGCTGAGGGAGTTTCTTGTACGAGTGGTGGTTGGTGAAGGACCGCGTATCACTCACACGAACGACGTCGTCTCGCTTGAGCGGAGCCAAACACCGCCTCTCTATCAGATTCAAAATCTTCATTCTCTACTGCTACCACTGCAATTATTCAAGCTTAAGCACACTTTGCTTATAGAGAAATAATAAAAATCCGATCACCCAAAAAAAAAAAAAAAAAAAAAAAAAAAAAAAAAAAAACAAAAAAAAAAAAAAAAAAAAAAATTCGTGGAGGTTGGAGGACCAAATTAGAAAGTGTTGGGATTCACCGGAATATAATAGAAAAAGAAGAACAAAAAATTTCCCGAAATTGTGATGACGTGTGTCGTTTTGCAGAGTTAGCTGTGAGGAATGTCTGCAGCAATGCAATGCACAGTGGTGACTGGTTAGGGTTTTAGCTTGGGAGTTGCAGAGAAGAGAGAGTGAAGAAATGAAGGTTTGTTTTTTTTTTTTTTTTTTTTTTTTTGGGTTTGGGGTTTGAAGGTGGAGAGACCGTTATGCCTGTGACGTATTGGCTTCTTTCTTATTGTGTGAGAGAGGAGACGAGTGAGGAGGAGGGTGTGGCGGGGTTAAGATGAGCGCGTGCTTATTTAAGAGAGTGGGAGATGGGACTCAATGTGGCCAACGGGTATATTTTTTCTTCTTTATGGGCTGGGCTTACATTGTGTATGAAATTTGTAAAATAGTTTTGGGAGGTATAGTAAAATACGGGGCTGAAAAAATACGAATCAAATGCACATATATACTAGACTCTTGGCACACACGCGCGTTAATTGGATTTTTATTTTTGTTTTTCTCATTTTAGAACTAAGAAAGGGTACTGATTTTCCCACTCCACTTTTATCCACTTATACTCTATTTTTATAAAATTTTATGTTCTCACTCATCCTTTGTTCACTTACACTGCCTTTTATCTTATAGTAAAAAGTATTTTAGAAAAACAAAAGAGAGTGTAGGTGGATAAAAGGGAAGTGGGAAAATCACCACCCATAAAAAATATGGTGAAAATTTCAACCCTAATAAAGTATTTTATTGTCAATTATTTACACTTTTTAATATGCAGTACATGTATGGTATTTAATTTATTTATTTTTTAAATGTGTGTTTTCACCGTATCTTGAAAACTTCACAAAAATGAAAATATTTGTAAAAAAATACGTACATACGTGTGTTTATACGCGAATTGACTAAGTAGGGTTCGGGGGCTTATGTAGTTTATCAGAATGGTTTGGAATTTAGATGGACTGTCATGAATAGTTTTCATTCTAGCTCCTTTCCACAATGCAATCTACAAGATTTCTTGTAAAAAAAAATTTATTCTTGTTAGGTGCTTTTTTAGAAAGCAATTTCAAGTTTAGGCTTTCCTTTATTCCACCCATATCAAACCGAACACGACGAATTTCCTTTATTCCACCCGCATATCCTTACTATTAGTTGTGTCAAAAAACTAGGATGCCATTGTCGTTTTACATTGTCTAAAGTTAGGATACCATTTTGTTTTTAAAAACTAAAAGTAGAAAGTAAAAATAATTTCCCCCTGCCATTGATTCTACTGTAAAACAAAAATCATTTTACAGTAGAAAAAATCAATTTAAGTTTTCAAATTTGGACTTCCCTACAGCTCCCAACTGATATTTTCTGGCACCACCACCCCTGATAAGTCAACTTCTGTTTTACACTTCAACTTCTCTTCATTACAATCAGTTTAACAGCTCCTCAACAATGCCAAAATAGCTTATAGCTTCTAAATTAAGCAACTTTGAGAATTCTCTCAGACTTTTGTGATGCCTAATTGAGATTTCTCAAACATGTTCTGCTCAACAGAATTTATTTTTAATAAGGAATTTGGTAATCTCAACTGGATACAAACTTCTTCTATTTTTGTTGTTGAAATTTTTATATTAAGTTAAAGTAATTTTATGATCAAGAGAAAATGGGAATAAGAAGGCAAGCAGAAAAGAGAGAAGAGGCTGTGGCATTGGCAATAGACAAGGATAGAGGAAGTGAATATGCTATCAAATGGATTGCTGAACATCTTCTCACCAGGCCTGGCCAATCCCTCACTTTGGTCCATGTTAAGCAACCAACTGCTGCTCCTGCCCTTCCCAACAAATCTAAAAGTATCTCTCTCTCTCTCTCTCTCTCTCTCTCTCTCTCTCTCATTGGGTTCTCTTAATAACCCCATTTTCACTCTGGTTTCTTTCATCTTATGTTGCAGGTGGAGAACTGCCGAGGGAGGTTGCAAAGATGAACAAATACCAAGTTGATGCTGAAGCCAAAGACTTGATCCTCCCATTCCGTTGCTTTTGCACCAAAAAGGCTGTGAGTAAATGCATGCGTCTTAAATTTATTCAAACATGATTTAAAAATTAAAAATTAAAAATCTCCTTGTGATCTGATATTTTTTTCCCCATCCATTGTTGCTGCAGATTCATTGGAATGAAGTCATACTGGAGAATGCTGATATATCAAAAGCACTAATCAACTTTGTCACGGCTAATTCAATTGAGATTTTGGTACTTGGTGCACCATCAAGAAACGCCTTTGGATTTCTCAGGTGATTATTTATTAATAATTACTTACAGAAAATCTTCTTTTTTGTATTCCCTAGTTAGTTCTTCTTCCACATGTCCTAATTATATCAATCTTCTTCTTGTTTTCACCACCAAAAAAAAAGATTCAAAACTAGAGACATTCCAAGCACTGTGTCAAAAGGGGCACCAGACTTTTGCACTGTATATGTCATTGGCAGAGGAAAGATAACACATTCGCGACCGGCTACAGGCCGTCTAACCCCAAAGCCTCCCCTGCATAATCAAGTACCGCAGCAACCAAGCCAAGTTTATGGTTCAAATGATACACAACACATGCTGCACAACCTGCAGTCCAGAGGTTTGTTTCCTCTAGTTCTAGCATCATGCTGCATTTTATTTCCCACCACACAAGTATGTGGTTAATTTTTGCCATTACCTGACTCAAGTTTCTTTGATTGATGCAGAATCAGAGATAACACAATCTTCAACCCGTAGCCAGCTAAACAACATTAAACTCAAGTAAGCTCTGATTCTGATTCAATTAAACTGATTCTGAATATATACAGTTAATAAGAGTACTAACCAAATACAAATAATGCAGGCCACCATTAACAAGAGCAATACCTATAATAGACAAATCATATGAGGCCTTGCCAGAGAGTGATAGGTTGTCGGTGAGCAGTGAAAGGCCAAGCACGGATCTCATGTCAAATTTTCCTAGTATGGCATCAAGAATGACCTATCAAAGTTCAATCAGCTCAGAGTTAGACAACAGAAGCTCTACGTCATCTCACTCCGGAATCAAGTTTATTGACATGAGCTCTGGACGGAATGAATTCTCATCGTCCTCAATTGAAAGTGGAAGATCATGGTCATCAACAAGCAGGGTAAGACAATTTCCCAGCATAGTAAACATGGAAACACCACCAACCTACAAAGCTTTCGAGCATGCCTCCAACTATAAGCTTGTGGTCAAATAATGTGTACCAGAAATTCCTAGAGTTAGGAGCAAGTTTAGGGTTAGATTTTCCCATATTGTTGCTTCTATAACTGATATATCTAAAATGACCAATAAGTGCCATAGTTTTGAATGAGTTTTATGCCATGACTGCATTAAGATACCCATTTACTACAATAGCCTACGTGGTGCATATATGCAGAAAAAGTTCAGAATATTAATACTTAGTTTGCCTTGAAAATAATAGGATGAAATGGAGAATGAGATGCGGAGGCTCAGGCTAGAGCTCAAGCAAACAATGGAGATGTACAGTATGGCCTGCAAGGAGGCAGTTACAGCAAAACATAAGGTATCGATGCTACTTCTTATAAGAGTATGGACTTTGTCTAAGATTTGGTGTCAATGAAAAAAAGATATTGGTTTTGAACAACAATTCAAGCACGAATTATAATGACATATCTTCACAGGAAAAGGAATTTCACCAATGGAAATTGAAAGGAGAGTGTAGAATAGAAGAGGCGCGACAAGCTGAGGAATCTGCATTTGCACTTGCACAGAAGGAGAAACTAAAAAGTAGGGCAGCCATAGAGGCAGCAAAAGCAGCTGAAAGGATTGCACAACTGGAAACAGAAAAAAGGAGGAAAGCAGAAATGAAAGCTCTTAGAAAAGATGAAGGGAGGAAGAAATCACTAGACGGTCTCAGGTACAGGAAATACACAATTGAAGATATTGAAGCGGCAACAAATGAATTTTCCCCAGCTCGCAAGATTGGGGAAGGAGGCTATGGTCCAGTATTCAGAGGTGAACTGGACCATACGCCGGTGGCAATAAAAGTTCTGCGTCCAGATGCAGCCCAAGGACGGTCACAGTTCCAGAAAGAGGTATCTGTGTTGTAACTATGCAAATAGAAATGCTCCAATAGAAATGCTATTTGTGGTGATCATGTTTATATCATTATAGACATATCTAACAGGTCCTAATTATGCAGGTTGAAGTATTGAGCCGCATTAGGCATCCAAACATGGTTCTCCTTGTTGGAGCCTGCCCAGAGTATGGTTGTCTGGTCTATGAGTACATGGCTAAAGGGAGCTTAGAAGACCGTCTCTTCCAGCGAGGCAACACCCCAGTGATTCCTTGGCAGCTAAGGTTCAGAATTGCTGCAGAAATTGGGACTGGACTTTTGTTTCTTCATCAAACCAAGCCCGAACCAGTTGTGCACCGGGACCTAAAACCTGGCAACATTTTACTAGACCACAACTATGTGAGCAAGATCAGTGATGTAGGTTTGGCCAGGCTTGTCCCTGCATCAGTAGCCAACTGTGTCTCTCAATACCGCATAACATCAATGGCTGGAACGTTCTGTTACATCGACCCGGAGTATCAAACAACCGGCATGCTTGGAACAAAATCTGATATATTTTCACTCGGGGTGCTGCTCCTGCAACTAATAACAGCCAGGCCACCAATGGGTTTGGCTCACCTTGTTGAGGAGGCCATTGAGAATGGGACCTTCACTGAGATGCTTGACCCTGCAGTTTCTGACTGGCCTGTTGAGGAAGCCTTCAAATTTGCCAAGCTAGCTTTACGGTGCACTGAAATGCGGAGAAAAGACAGGCCGGATCTTGCCAAGGTTGTGCTCCCTGAGCTTAACAGATTAAGAGAAATCGCTGAAGATTGCATGAATCCCTTCATGATTGGGGGTAATGGAGCACTCTCACCAATACATGTAAGTTGCATAACATAAACCTAACACTTAACTTCAATAACAGCACAACATTATCTTTTTCTTTTTTCCTTGTTTGCATATTTTCTTGACCTTTTTTTTTTCTTTTTTTCTTTTTTTCATTTTGTTTGTTTGTTTGTTCTTTCTCAATTTAGGATGTGATGTCTGATCGCCATCTTTCGGAATATGGATATGATAGCCCAAGGAGCCCTTCAAGCACATCATCTTATGCAGGGAGATTATACCGCTAGTTAGAAGCAGACAATTTCGGTAGATAGAAGAATATGTATAGATTGAGAAAAGTGCATTTTTATAAAGTTTTCTCAAGTCATAGATTTTTGTATCCTCAGATCGTAAAACTGACTTCTATAGACTCCACAGGAAGTTATAATGTTAAAACTTTTGCCAAATGGCTTTAATGGCTTTAATTGGCTTTTTAGGAAGACAGGAAATTTATCAGCTTTCTTTTTTCTTTTTTCTTTTTTCTTTTTTAAATTTTATTTTATACAAGCGATAATCTTCAAACTAATCTAAATTACGAGAAAGAGGATTCGACCTTGGTGCAATAGGGAGAACATATACTCTGGCCAACTTGCCTAAGCCCATGCAGGAAATTATCAGTATTTAAAAACCCCCACATTGTAAGGAACTTGCATAACTGAAGCTCCAAAACAAAGCAAGGGGCAAATGCCAACAGCAAATAAACCACTGTTTTAAAATTTAATTATAACAACGCGTTCAGTTTTTGTTTTCTAAAACAGAAAGCATGACAAAATCCCCAAAGACACATGCACATATTTCTAAACTTGGCTAGAAATTAGTGAATAGTTGTAATACAAGGATTCTGCCTCCCAACTCAAGGAGAAAGGGAGAAGAGTGTGACAATAAAATTCATATCTTCGGCAACAAAACTTGTAATTTGCCTCTAGATCAAATATTTACAGGCCTCGTCTAAAAACATGAACATTACTAGTAGCTTTACAGGTGCACAAGCATATTAATTGCTAAATGGATTGCTACAACAAAAAAGGCTGCGTTACATGCCAGAACAAACGTTTATGTGAAGGTATCATCGCGATCACCCTCCACTGTGTCACCCTCCTCCAAATTGCTGAACTCAAGGTAATGGGTTGGCCGATGGTCCTCATGATAGTACTCCCTAGGGGTCCCAAGCTTGATGCCATACTTCATGCTAGGCGTATGCTTCACCCCCATGAAGTTGTAGTTCCATGGCCCAGTGTCCGGAATCTGAAAACCAAGCAGCAATTAAACAAATTAGATCCCTCAGTAAGAATGGAAACCATCCAATAATTTCATAAATAGCCAAACAGAGCTTAATGCACTAGTCTTACCATATAGAAACCAAGGAAGCGGTCACTGAGAAGCATCTGGACCTTCTCATAATGAGTGGGAAGGTATCCGTGAGGATTGCTTCCGGTGTCTTTGTTGACACGTCCCCACTCATAACCAGATGGAGTAAGTTTGTATGCAGTTAACGAGCAGGAACCTGGAGTGAAGCTGCAGGTCAAGATGATGCATTTCTCCCCATCCCATTGCTTGGTGTTCTCTAAAATCTTTGCATGAGTGGTGAGATCCTGCAAGACAACATTAAACATGGGTTATTTCTTGTCTATCACGTTCCTCTACAGGAAAAGACAAATATGACGACAGATAACAAGGATTGAAACATTAGTCACGTAAACATACCTGAGGAGAAAGCTGAGGAAGCTCATTCGGCTGCGTGTGCATCCATCCCAAAGGTTCCAAGTCGTTGAGAAAATCATGCTCAGGAAGAGCTGATGGAAGATGAACTTGCTGATGGGTCCCCCACTGTGGTGCCATGGCAATGCAACGAATCTCCTTAACCTGAGGGTTGTCAGGAGGGCTTATCCCATACAAATAACCGGCAATTTGTGTCCTCAGATCCGCAATGCAGATGAATTTTTTCAAAATGTTCTTTGGCATAATATAGGTGTAACCCGTTTCCTGTAAAACCATTTGGGTTCCACGCCAGTCAACAAATAAGAAGCACAAAGAAAATAGCAGCAAGGCATAGAAACTATCAAATTACTAAAGATAGAACCCTACCTTTATATCTTCTGAATTCACATATATATGATTGACACGAAGATATAGATTTGTGGCTGATATTGCCCTGACACGCCAATCGGTTTTGGAACCAAAAGCATTTTGCTCATAGGGACTCGTAGTGGTGACAATGAGTTCATCACCATGCACATTCGTAGTCCTTGTTGTGACTGCTGTCAGCTGACTGGCTTCTTTAGCCTGAAAATACAAATTCAGCATTTTATATAAGTTAATCTATAACAACATCAAACAATGGTCTACATATATAACAGAGTAACACAAAACATGTCTGCACATGTATGCGTGTATCTGTGTGCATCACAATTTAAACCACCACAAAACAAACATCACCTGTTTTTCTATCTCTGCAATCTGCTGCCTTTGTTGAGAAGGTGGAGTGATCTCAGCTCCAAGTATAATGTCACGGATCTCGGATTGTGTCAAGGCCGATGTATTCACATTGTTCTTTTTTGCGTAGTCTGATAATATGAGATCCCTTAGAGCAACCTCGACCTGCACCATATTTAGAGATATTTATAGTGTTGGAGATTCATGCAGAAGTACAAAAAGAGTCAAATAGCACCCCTACCCCCCAAAACAGCAAAAACCCAAACAAGCTAATTAAAAAGCAATTCCAATGAAACTTCTTTAAACCTTTCAAGACCAAAAATCATAATCATTTTAAAATTTATTCGACCCATCTTAATAAGTAACAGATAATTGACTAGAGTTTACCGTAGCAACTCTGATGGGACAATAAAAACCTCTGTGCATACAAACATTCATCTAAAGCAAAGCATCATCAAGCAAAATGAAGACAGTGAAATTACCTTCATCCATTGATCATCAGAAAGAGAAGGCCAGATGTGGTGTGGCTCAGTAATGACTGTTTTATCAGGCTTCAATAACATCTTTGCCTTCTCATTGTTTACATGAAGTGCACGAAGAATCAGAATTAGTCGGGAGAATGCAGTGTATGATGAAATACTCTTCAACCAATCATCATAAATGTTGAACAGAACCATCTGCGGTTCAGTTGCCTTCAATATCAGATCACCAAATTTCTCAATCTTCAGACAAGCCTGGAAAGGAAGCTGCAGCTCACTTCCTTTTATGACTATGTTGGGGAAATCAAGCAAATGAACCTCCAATGGATCCAACATTCCCTTACGAGTCACAATAATTTGCTTCGGCTGTTCTTCAACAGGCAGAGAGCGCACAAGTGCAGCAACTTCTTCAGCAGTTTTCCACTTGGCCAATTGACCAAGACGCTTCTGTCCTGCCCAGACACTTGTGTGGATAACCTGCAAAATATAAAATTAAAAACCATCAGAGAGAGAGAGAGAGAGAAGTTAATTTCAAAATATCACAGAAAGAAGAAGAAAAAATAGAAAGCATACCTTCAGGAACAGCTGACCAGTCCTTGGATTGAATATGAAAATAGCTCCATTGATGGGTTTTGTCGTGAGATTTCCTTCAAATGTTTTATGTATCGTAACACGATAAACATTTGTGTCATCAACAAACCAAATAATTTGGTTGCTGAAGATCTCTCCATAGTTTTGGGATGACAAATATGGTTCCGTGGGCTCAGAAGAATAGAGCTGCAATCCTTTCCTTATTCGCTCCCTCAGCACATACAAGGCTGGATTTGACTGCAAGCACATGACAAACAATTAGTTTGCTGCTTTCTGTACAAATTATGATGTAATCAGAAGGTAGCATAAAAAATTCAATTGTTATGATTAACATACTTTCATTATCTTGTTCATTGCTTGCTGAAGCAGGGGTTTTGACCCAGGAAACCAGTTACCAAATGCAGAATGCAAATTATAAGCCAAATCGAGACCAATCATCACCCCTGCATGGAACACAATCACGATTACATTTACAAAAGAAAGATACAAACATGTGAAGTAGTATTGCAACCGGAAAAACAACATACCTGTGGGAGAAGGATAGATAGACATGTTGTCAGTGGTATAGTCCATAAACTTAGCTCGGGTGTAACGCTCAATATCATGAGAATCATAGTCACCCCAACGGAGTTGTACATCTATCCAGTACTTGTTGCTAGCTTTCTGATCAAACACATCCTTTGGCTCAGCTACTAGACTAGGTTTCGACATTGGCCATCTATGAGCAGCAAACAGAAGAATGTCAGCACAGGAGCTGTTCATTTTGTAACTCTTCCTGGGATGTATTGTTTCCTTCTGCACTGTTTCAATTTCCAACGCATCCAACTCTTGATCCAAAACCTGACAGAGATCCATGACAACACTTTCATGAATCTTCTGCCACAAGTGAGCACGGAATATCTGAATCAGTGAAATCTTCAAGGTCGGAATCTTGCCATGCATGAAGATTCCAGTTAAATCTAGCTGCACTTGGAAACCGACATAAACATTGGCACGATTTATGGTAGGTGACCACCAAAGAGTAAACCTACGATTGGGGATTTGGTTGAGCCCAGATCTTTGTGCATTGGTCAACTTCTTATACTTCATCGACTCCTCAAAACCAGATGCCTTCTCCCAGAAGAGCCCCTCCCAAGTAGGAAAGCTGAAATAGGCAAAGGAGTTCAGTAAGGTGTAAGAACATATGTTAAAACTGACATGTATGTTTTCCACATCAACCACATATAAGTATCACCTCTTATATACATAATAGCACACAAAACACATGCTACATATAATAACATCTATTATATTTAAACAAGCATATCAACCACATAAATCTGCCATGATATTGATTGATCTTCCCATGTAATGATGTATTATGAATAGTTATAAGAAATAGCGTAATGTTATACAGACTTAGGGTCTAGGATGATGACAATGGAAATTGACAGCTAAACAAACGAAATAGAATAATGAACTTACTATGTTCCTTTGAATAATGTATGCTCAAGGATTCCCTCAACACCTCCAAGGGCTTGAATAACATCAGTTCGGTAGTTGTTTAAGTTCCATAATTTTCCATCATGCCTCTGGTGTGTCCACCAGAAAGGATTCTGTTTCAAGACTTGGTACTGCTTAAAATCTGTGCGAACTCTCCACCCTTTGTCATATGCTAAAGTGTGCCTGTCCTTCTGGAACAAAGTATTTATTCGTGGAATTCCCCTATCCCATGAATCCTGTCCATCAAATTAAAAAAGACACTTCAGAATAAATAATTTCCTGATAGTACTCTCCAAATATTTGAAACCAATTATGTCCACTAGATAAGAGTGAACGGGGAAGAAATTGCAGCAGAGTGGATGTAAAACTACAACCCACAAAAAATGAAAAAGAATAAATTAAAATTTGCAAAACAATTTTTTTTTTTAAATGATAGAAAAGCATATGAAAAACTGGACAATAACAAAATACTCACTTCCAAATCTTCAAGCGTTAGACGCCTATTTTGTGCCTGAGCTTCCTGCCTTTTCAGTGCATATTCTGCCCAAACACGCTGTGAATCTATAAATTCACTCTCCCATGGTTGTATGTAACGATAAAGATTTGGAATCAGCTGGTCCTCTTCATGACTCATTCCACTCCTAAAGTGAGTCACACCAACATCCGTTTGCTGACTGTATCGGAGGTCACTCTGTGGAATCAATATATGACCCATAGATAACATACCAAGTCCTCCGATTTCTTTTGGTGTGTAGAAAATGACAGGCGGAAACCTGCTAGGCATCTTTGAATTCAACCCAATCTTAATACGGGTCTGTATTTTATTTTCACACTTGACCAGCAAATCCAACAGCTCTTGTGTATGTACAGTTGCTTCACGGAAGTAAGTCATAAGACCAATAAGTGCTGTATTCCATTTGTTGACAATTTTTGTAAAAGTTGTAGACCCTGAAGACATAAGAATCTGCCTCACACGATTTTCAAACACCTTCATGTGTTCATCATCAACCCGTAAGAAAGCAACTGCAGTCCTCTCCTTTGTCTGTTCATTCTGCAAATTCCAGACCCCATCCCTTGTGTTGCTAAATGCTTCTTGACTCATTCTTATCTTGGGAAGTATCCGAACTTCAAACCCACACATGCTGAATAGCAAATTTGGATTATCCTTACTGTAAACAGAAACAAAGCTGTTTTCCCACTCCAAAGTGGTGATACTTCGAGGAAGACGGTTCTTCATATCCCAAAAAACACTCCTCCCAAGATTGACATCATGTTTCATGAGCCTCATTCGAGCATCTCTTGGCCAGCATTTCTTATTATTGTATCCAACCATATTTTCATTATTGGGATCTGGATGCTCAGTCAGATATCGCTGGATAAGGTCCCGAGCCTCTTCATGAGTGAAGCGGAACAAGATATGCACCCTGTCTATGTATCGAGAATACAGCCTGATAGGATGCCGAGTCTCAACCTTTGTGTCCCAATAAGTGATGAACTCATTTGGCATTTGGGGTGGACCAGCAATCTCACTGGCTCGAGTCAATCCAAGAAGCAACAGATCCAACACAAGTCCATAATATTGTACAACAAACGATGCAAACTGAAGACCACGTATAAGACCATAAGAATTTGTATGACTCATATCTTTGTAAGACAATACCACATTGTTTTTTGCAGTGACATAATCAGCAATATTATGATCAAGGACAAGACGTAGAAGCCTATTTAGCATTGTCAAGTCAATCTTTTCAAAGAACTTCTCAAACTTCGTTTGAAGCATCACCACACACTGCCCCTCACTTGTGTCCCATATACTCTGTAAATTGTTTATTCCCTGACACCATTTATAAACCAAAAGCGGGGGTGGCTCAGAATCTGCAGGCTTGATCCAGTTTGGAAAGAGATGACGTTTGTCACCCTCATACCATAAATATTGATCAAGATATGCATCCGTAATCTTCTCAAGAGGTTCAATCTCATAAACTGGAATAAGATAGCTATACAAATCCATGAACTCAATACCGACTTCTTTGAAGGCACGCTGAGTGAGCAAGTGACGCTTAATTCGTGACAATGCCTCATGTGGATTATCATAGGCTTGTTCAATGAGACCCAGCTCCTCTCTTTGAAGCTGGTTCAATCTTACAGCCACACTATAAGATTCCTTCAGCCTCTCCAGAGCAAGGATAAGTAGCTTTGTATCATGTTTGTATGACAATGGAGGGAACGGAATGGGGCTGAACTTTCTCGACTCCAACCAGTGCACGGTTGTCGTGTAGATTGCAACTGCCTCTTCAGGTGTAACATATGGACCATCTTTCAGATAATTGTGCTGTCGCTCCTGCTCTGCCTTTAGCCAAAGACGAGTTAATCTTCCAAGATTCTTCCGACAAACTGTCTTATCTACTGTAGCACCTCTTCTTATGCGCTCGCGATTATAGTGGGCAACATTTGTCCACCAGTCTGCCTTTGATTTGACATAACGAAGAATCATATTCTCAATAGGAACTGGCAAACCAGGAACCTTCCAAGGAATATTTGCTTTCCAGCAACGCCACGCCTCACTCAGATGTTGCAAGATAGTTCTTGCCTTATTTTGCTTGATGCCCTCCGGCATGGCATCAAGAACGTCATGCATGACAGCAGCTCGAAGCTCCAAGTCAAAATGGCTTTCAACACGCTGCTTAGTTACAGTCTTTGCCACTCCTTTCGAATGCCGCCCTTCAAATTGCCTTGCAAGTAAATTTCCCAACCACCGTTCTAGAAGAGGAACTATGCCCCGAAGGAAGAACAACCATACCCTCCACATTGGTGCCCAGAACCCGCATCCGGGTCCTTTCCCAACTGGCCCAGTATTGAACCGATAGTAAATCAAATGCTTCAAATCCTTGCACATTCTAATCTGCCGCATCAACCTATACTTGTAACGGTACATTCCAGTCAACTGACCAACATGAGAAAATGTGTATTGCAAGCCATCAGCCAATTGGAAGGCATCAACATTACCCAAACGGAACTGGATATTAGCATCAACTACAAGCTTTGTCAACCGCAAGATTTCACGGCAAAGATGAAAAGCATTACCAAACCGAGATTTCTTACGCTCTTTTGTTGTCAGTGTTTTCACAGGCTTCAGATTAAAATTATAATCAAGATGAAGGTAGTTCAAATTTTTCCTATGAATCAATAGATTTAGCATGTTATAACCCTGCTTACAAACTTGAAGACCCGCTTCAGCCCAATCAAGCTCTGTAGTCTGGAAAAATTTAGTAGCTTGAAGAGATCGAAACAAATGTTTCTTCTTTTGAGCCTTAGGTGGTCTATGATGTAGCTCATTCAACACAAAACACTTCAGCAATTTCTGATAGCTGACCCGAACTTTAACTGGATACGATGGAGGACAATGTTCTTTATACCACTCTGACACAAGGGGTATATCTTCTGCTCGACGTGTCCGACCAGATCTCATGTTAAAAGGGCGTGGCGCAAACAAGAGGGAGATTCCAGCAGCTGTGGTGTCAGTATAAAGCTGAGTATCTTGTAGAAATGGTCCCACCCCCTCTGGTAAACCAAAAACATCATCTTCGTCCTCATCAAAAGTTTTCTTCTCACGCCGCTCCTTGTTGGTGCTGGGTATTGGGTGTATCAATGGATCATAATAAAATGCAGGTAGATCAGGATCCTCGGTTTTTATGTACATCACCATGGGTGTGTGATACACACAAAGCTTTACCTTCCTGGGTCTATTGTTGTAGAGATGAGGGAATGCAATTCTGTACTCTGTTCTGAGAGGTGACCGAATAATGAGTTTATTAATGTCATTAAACTCATTCCAGTCCTCATCCCCTTTCTCCATATCCCGATACAAAGGTTCAAATTTAGGTCCACCTGCAAAAGGTGTAGCAAAACAAAAGATGAGCATCTAGCTTGAAAGCTAAATACACTAACAACACACAAATATTTTAAGTCTGCAATAATTTCCAAAACCCATTAACCTTCATTACAGAACAGAGCTGTATTAAGGTTCAAATGAGGAAAACAGTGACCAGCAGAGCATATCCGAAAACCATAAACATAACACTGGCCCAGCCACCAACACCCAACATGGCTAGTAAAATGCATGTGTGGTACAATACTTAATTGCAGTAAAATGTTGACAAAAATTTACCTAGACTGCAAATTCCACCACTTAGACTCATGCAAAGTGTGAAGACATACAGTCAAACAGGAACCTAAAATACCTAACACAAAACCCCAACAAACCCTTTGGATCTGACAACTATTAATCCCACAGCCAGAATTATCAGAAGAATGAATCACAACCCAATTCAAAAACCACTGACGACATATTGAAGGTTAATGACATAAGGACACGCACCATAAACCACAAATGAAAAAAAAGAGAAAAGAAAATGACAGGTTTTCCTTTTGACAAGAACAAAACTAAGTAACAAGAAAAGAGAGAAAATGTGCATACCAGGGATGCACATATTCAGTGCTTTGGCTGTGAAAAAGGACTCCATGTCAAACAAGTAGAAATAATTGCGGTCAATCAAATCAGAAAGTAGCTGTCCTGCAAGTCGATGAAGGGTTGCCATGATTGGAAGCGAAAGATGCCACTTCCGATAACTTGGACCATTAATGAGCTTTGTCTTAACAAGAGGTTTATGGTCATAAAACCAAGTATACACAGCGGAATCTTCTTCTTCATCTAACTCCAGTTGAATTGGCTCTAGGGGATCAACATCTAACAGATTATCAGCATAGTCTAATGGAGGTTCTTCGTCATCAAATGGCGGAAACCGCATTCTTTTGAAATGTCGACGATCCCTCTTCTCTCTTCTCATCATAATCCACATCGTACCCCACTGTACAAAAATAAAAATAAAATCCGCTACATATCATCAAAAGGAGGTATAACAGACCAGCAATTTCAAGAACCAGATGACATATTATCTGATTTAAGCAGCACATAAACGATATGAAAGAGAGATAAGTACCTGAGCCAAATAGATGGGTTCAACAACCCAGGGTATCTCATTCACAAATGTAATTGCCCCGGTTATATGATACAAGACCTTCACATCACGGACCTGTTACAGCATTAATTAATAAAATGAGCTGGCTGTTATGTAGAAAGCACGTGATGAATAAATTTAAGCATCCAAATGAAAAGTTTGCTAGCATATGCGAGAGATATAGAATAGGTACCTGCTCCCAAGGCATTGGCATATTCTCAAGGAGCTTGTAGACTGCATGTGGAACAAATTTAAGTGCTCCTAGATACACTCGTTTATCATGACGAAATTTCTTCGAAGACATGTCCCCATGGTCTCTGTCAAAATAAACACAAACTTAATTATCATGCAAGTGAGATCTATGTACTGTACTAATTTCATGATTACACGCGCATTCATTACATGAAACCAATCAAAGGCCACACTTGAAACAAAATATGGAATATAAGTTAAAGATTAGAAGCACGAAACAACATATATCATCTGGATAAAAAGTGATAAAGCATAAGAAAATCATACTCGAATTGAAATCCCTAATTTCTAGTTGAGGAATTGTCCAGATGAAAATCTTGCATATTCCACCAAAAAAACCATTTAGCTACTGCTCGTTTTAGTGTTCCATCGACACTACAAAAAGTTTCTCCTGCAATATTTAACCCCTCGACAATAACAATGAATCACAAACACCTAAAGCAACCTAGCCTCTTCAATAACCTCATTCACAGGCTTCGTGAGCAATTTCAACTAAGAAACACTAACACAAACCTATTCTTCATTCTCCTTTGTATACATTTTCTAGTCACTTCTTTGTCCAATAAGCACAAAAACACAAAGTAAATCCAATTATCCAAAAACTAACCTTAAGATCTTTCAAATCCAAAACGATAAGGAAAACTATATGCACCAAAAATTAAACAGAAGAAAACTAACCTAATGATCTTCCTGACATGTTCAGGAGGCATGTCCTCTTTCTGCGACTCGACAAAGCCGAACTTGCGCTTATCGCTGTACCGCTTGGAATTGAGCTGCTGCCATTTCCGGGCCTTCTCTTCGAGCCTGGCCTCGGCATCAGCCGGGGAAGGCAATACCGTGTAAGAGGGCTGAGCCGCCGGCGGTGGCGGGATAGACGAACCGCCGGTGCCAGGCGGCGCAATCTGGCCGTTGTTCCACATACTGCGGAACCAAAACCGAATCGAGTATCAAACTCTGCACAAGGATTGTGAGAGAGAGATGGATAGAGTTTGTCTGCTCGTGCTTCCGCTCGAAGAAGCCTTCCGAGCTTCAATGGCGGTTCGAGTTTTCTAGGGTTTTGCAGGGTTTGGCTCTCTTCTCTCAGTGAGACAGAGAGTGAGAGATGTTGAAAAAAAGTGCGGGTTTGAGATGTGGTATTTATTTTTGCTAAAGAGACAAAAGGCGGTGGCAAGTGACGGTAGTCGTGGGGGCGAGGACCAGACCGCTTCTGGACATGGGCTTCTTTTAGATTGAATTCTATTGTGGGCTTTTGGATAAACAAATTATTTTTATTCCGGCCCACGAACAACGTCACAACACCTGAGGGCAATTATTTAGACTTAATTTATGGTGTGTTTACTAATCAGGAATTTGAATTCTCATCATGAATTGAATTCTACTTATGAAGGATTCCTGCATTTACTTCACTTCAAGGAATTGAAAAGTAAGTGGGATAGACTTAATTTATAGTGTGTTTACTAATCAGGAATTGAATTCCACCTATGGAGGATTCATGCGTTTACTTCACATCAAAAAATTGAAAGGTAAGTAAGGCCCACATAAAGTTAGGAATTAAATTCCTAATTTTGGAGGAATTCAATTTTTGAGTGAAATGTGGTATTCTAATTCTTGAAGAACTAACCCGTTATGAATTCATCTTTTTTACCTATTATATCCTCACACAATTTTGAAATTTGTCATCTACTTTAACCTAACAACGAGGAATTTTTACTAATTAGCATCATTCCTACCTCAATTTCATATGATTTAGTGAACAACTTCAATAGGAAATTGGAATCTAACTCCCCTTAATCCATATTGTTTAGTAAACAACTTTATTAGAAATCCGGAATCTAATTCTCCTCAATCCAACTCCTTCTCAATTCAATTCATCCTCAATTCAATTCCTCCAATCCAATTACATATTAGTAAACATGTCATTAGTGATTATCGTTTCAATAATCTATCTACTAGCCTCCCTACATGCACTTGCGGGAGATCTTTTTTCCATGGTTGATTTTATTTGAACTCTACAATCTGCTCTTTTGACCCCACATTCTTTTACATCCCATAACACTTTAGTGAAATTTAAAATGACTCTCTACACCCATTGTTTCTTCTTAAATTACCCTCACTAACCTAAATCTATCACACTTTTTTTTTTTCACAGCCCATCAATTAACCTTGTCGCAAACCCTGGTATCCCTAAACCCCATTGCAAACCCGAGTATCCCTAAACCCCATCACAAACGACAATACACCGAAAAGGAGGCAGCTTATGTGGCAAATCACCTCCAAAACGCCAAGCTTCTACTGCACAACTTTTGCGACGCCACCAATCCCAAGTCGTGAAGAACGACTTCACCAATCCTAGGTCGTGAAGAACTCAAGGTTAGCCTTCAATTTTGATTTGAAATTTTATGTTTCTCAGTGATATTTAAAAAATTGGATGTATTTTAGCGTATAGAGATGTATTTATGGTTGTGATTTTGTTGAAAATGGATGTATGGGTTCGAACCTAGTTTTACGAATATAAACGTATAAACCTTATTAGGGTTGTTGGAACATGATGGTTTGATAAATAAGTCTGACTAGAGTTGCAGAAACGTATATGGGGGTGTAGGGAGCAAATTTAATTTTTATTGTAATTTTTTTTTCCTTAACGGTAATTATAAACAATGGTAAAATAAGTTATTCATGTTTAAAATTAGTGTGTGGTCAAAAGGATTGTGGGGTTCTAACAAAATTATCTTTTTTCCATCAAGCGCGCTACGTACGCGTGACTTACAATTTTTTTATTTTATTTTTACAATTATATTTTTCTAGATGGCCTCTTAAAAGTTTTCCCTTATCACCCTTCTTTATCTAGATGCACGTGTCAACAATTTACCTGCAATAAAAGGAAAAAAAAACAAGAAATTGTTGATACCATAGTTGATAAATAAAGACATAGAAGAGGGAAGTTTCAGTGTTTGTGCGTCTTCAGGCTTCTGAATGTCTTAAATGATCATTAGATATGGAGAATCTTCAGGCTATTGAACAGAATAAACTCCTCCGAGCTTTACAAATCAGATATGCAGGTTGGTCCCTATCTATCTACTACCGGCTTACATTCACAAATACATAGATGATGTAGAACATAATAAACGCCAAATAAATGGTCCCTCGGTCCAAACATTGATTCACTCCTTGCATCACTAAGAAAAACATCAGGAGACTCCCATTGATACCTGTTGAAAACCCCATCTTTCTCCATCCATCTGCCAAGGCATGAAAGTATATTAGAAAAATTATTTCACCAGATGGCAGAATATTGAGAACATTCGAAACTATAATGAGGTGAATTATGAGCAAGAATTTCTAAGAAACACTGCTACAATTTGCTCTCCAGCCTCTGTGACAAAGTGTTGGACAGCAGAACACAGTTACGCATTTTGAGCTACATCCAACCTACCTTCGTCGCTTAGATCAGTTCCAATCACCATCTACAATAACCCAAAGAAAATGCACGTAAATCTGTAAGAGTTAATTGAAAAATAAACAAAACAAAACCCTTAAGAAATATTTTTGTTTTGTATTGTGAAGGAAGCAAATGTCAGCATAAAAAGAAGAGATATTTAGTGATATACCCATTTCTAGCACTAATATTATAAATAAACCCCACACAATTGAATTTATATAAACAAACCCAAAAAATGACAGCTGACCATATTGAATTTAATATTGATTATTAAATTGCTTTGATGTCCTATTGAGTGTTTTAGGTATTTTTAGGAGATTTTGGGGTTGGGCTTGTTTTAAGAAATTGATGGCAGTTTTGTTATTTATAAGAAATTAAAAGCTTTTTTGTCATGTTGTAAATGGGCTTTGGGTGTGTTTCTAAAGTCCATTTCATATGGGGTATTTTTATAATTTGGGCCCTCATATTTGGTATAATAGTGAATCTCCCTAAAAAGAAACACATCTGCGGCTAGTAAGTCGTTCAGCAGTTTTCCTCCACAAATAATTTAAAATAATTAATTTCTATTTATTAAGTAATTTATGAAATTAGTAAAATATTTAAATACTAATTATTTACTAAAGAAATAATAATTAAAATATAATCTATATATCTATATATATAAAGCAAAAGGCAGAGAATGATGAAACATTCAAAATACCAGAAAATGCCCTTGGTTAATGCAAACGTTAAGAATTGAAATTATTAATTAAATGAGGATAATATAGTAAATTCACACTTTTTCATATTAAAAAAATTAAAATTAAAAGAAAAACTACCCATTATCTTTTTTAATTCTAAATAAATTAAAAAATTTATAAATAAATTAATAATTAAATAAAAAAAGCCTCTCGCGGGCATGGAAGCGCATGCGAAGAGACTAATTACTAATTAAAGTAATTAAAAAAAGCTAAGATATTACTTAAGTATAAAAAGGAAAACCATTTTGTGCGGCTATACTTTTAAAATATTAATATATTTTAAAACTATAGCCGCACGGCTGTATTGTTAAAATATTTGAATGCATTTAAACATATAGCCGCGTGGCTATACTCTTTAAATATTTATATATTTTAAACATATAGCCGCACGGCTATACTTTTAAGAATTTGGTTCAAAAGGAATCAATCTCAGCACAGCTTTAACTCAAAACTACACGCGCATCCTACTAATGGTCCACATTGAAGGCATGACCATGGTAATTTAGTTTCCAACAACAACTAAAAAGTTAAAAGAATTTGACACATGTCAACATTACATTGGTTTTAAGGAGGAACTCTTCCTCAATTTTAAGGAGCCAAGCTTTTCCAATCTTTTTTTTTGAAGAGATTTATCAAATAGCCGGATTGTTGAATTTGTTCCCACCGAAACTTGCCCCATTGTTTTTTTCTTTGGTGTTTGGTGGTTGGACTCTCACCTTAAACCTGAGCTCTTTTTTTTGCTCTATACCTTGAGCATTTTTAGGAAGAGTCAAACTCAACACCTAACCAACTCATCATTACAAAGTTTTTATTTTTTATTTTTATATTTTTAATTTTGCAATTGTATTTTGCTAAATGTCCGTCCCAATAGTTTCTTATTTTAATAATAAGTGTGTGATTAATGACACATATTTTTCGTGAAGTGCATTTTAAGTTTTTATTTTTCCGACTTTTAAAACGTGCATCTAGAAAAATACTCACCATTAATAACACGAGCCATTAAAAAATTTAAAATTAAAAACAAAATTAAATATTTTTTTTTTTTTTTTTTTTTTTTTAAAAAAAAAAATTAGAGAGAGGGGATGCTACCTCATACCAAGGCCAAGGCACCCCAATGCCTTTTTGAGGACTTACAAAAAGGGGGTCTTAAGACTCGTTTGGGAGTGCTTCTTCTTGAAGCGCTTATGCTAGTAGAGCTTATGTCAATCGTGCTTATGACATAAGCGCTTCTACAAAGAAGTAGTTTGTCATTTGGATATCACATTTAAAAGTGTTTTTACACTATATAAAAGCGCTTTTGATATTTTGTTAAGTGTTTGGCTGACAAAGTAAAAACGCTTTTAAAAGCACTTTAAAAAATGTAAAAAATCTCAAAATATTATAATAAATATAGGAAATATAAAAAAAAGAGGAAAAAAAAAGAAAGAAAGGAAGGGTATTTTGGCATTTTAAAAATTAAATATGAGTATTTTCGGCATTTTAAAAGTTTCATTAAAGAGAACCAAGTGCTTCCCTTGTTTTTATCCTGCAGTGCTTTTAAGAAGAAGCACCTCTCAAGTGCTTCTTCCAAAACCACTCCAAGTGCTTTTGGATCTCACCCAAAGCGCATTTGCAATTTTTACCAAACACCATTTTTTTAAGACAGAAGCGCTTTCACCCATTTAGAAGTGCTTTTCGCTGATCCAAAAGCACTCACAAACGAGCCCTTAGCCTATTTTTTGGTTTTTACATATTACCCATT